AACAGGAAACATATTTGATTGTGTTATTCTGTTAATAGTCGATGCACGTTGACCATTATCATTTTCGCATTTTCAGAGTCTTTTCATCATGTGCAAGAATTGGAGCTTGTTTATTTTTGCAATCAGTTCAGTATAACAGTTATTTTACAAGATCACAAAATGCCAGGGATAAATGCTCAATTTACGATAAGAAATCATTTTGTGTTTTTATATATATATATCAATGGCAAATCTCATATATTTTTTGGTTTATAGAACTACTAAGGGTACCCCTATAGACACATTTTTCTGAGCCTGCACCAGCGGTTATTCGCCAAAAAAGGGGTGGTGAATTTATAATTTTCGTATAAATTAGTATACATTAAAAAAAATCCGAAGGATTTTTTTCCCGAGTTTAAGTTGAAAAGTGAAAACTAAATTTCATGGTTTCCTCCAAATATTTTTTATATAGAAAAAGTTTCTCACGAGATTCTGGTATAAAGTTGACCTTGGAGAACATCCATTTTGACTTGGTGAAAGTAATATTCGTAGGCCAGTACAGCATCGGGTGTTGGAGCGCGAAACGTGCGAGTTWCCTCTCCTTGACTCAGCTTGAAACACCACTTGTTTGGATCGTTTTGTTGATTTTCATCTATTCGTTCAACTTTTATCGTGTCAATATCCTGACTTTCTAGAATAACTTTTTGCGTCTGTTTGTAGAYGGAAGAAGTTGGAATTGTTTCTTCTTCGCAAACTTTGGTTCTTGTAGGTTTCGTTCCAGACGTGCATTTATCATCGGTCGCTTTCATTAACAGTAAAGCAGGACCTTGTGTTGATTTCTTCTCATCGTCCCAACTCAGAGTAAAGGAATTCTTATTGATATCCAAGCGAAACATGATGCTAACTGAATCGATTCTTTTACGGGTTCGTACTCTTGAAGACCTTTTTCCCATGTACGCGGTGTGCGAACAGTGTTTCGAATGTGATGAATATTGAGGACTCGTCACGCAACGATTACGTTTTAGCAGTTTCACCGCGTCAAAGATAACAGCGGGCGCCGGTTCGCTTTATAAGCAAGAGAGTGTGTAATATCATCATTCACATTCATATACATCTCAAGACAGCATTTCGTCATTCAAAAAAAAAAAAGAAATGGAACGATTGACAATTGTCAGAGATCCTAGCAGCAAAGGATACGTGAACAAGTATGAAGTACTTGAAACCGGCGAAACATTCTCAAGCCTAACAAGTGACATTGCTTCAGCCTTTTCTGAGTACATCAAATATCGAGAGTTTGAAAACGATGTTCTCTCTTGGGTAACAAATCAAAGTCAACCGGAAAATGTTGGTTTGGAAATCGAGAACCCAAATTTTGAAGATCTCATCCCTGAAATTTTTAATCAAAGCCTTTGCTGAACATATTATCAATCAGATTTGTACACTGACGAGAGAAAACTGCGAAGGATGCAAGATTGATCATCCTTCACAGCGCCGGCACGACTGTATGATGCTTGATAACAAGACGATGACATCGTGGTACCTCACAGAAGCTCTTGAGAGAGTGAATGAAGAAGAAGCCATGAAAACGTTCCTTGATTACACAAATGAACACTCACCATTGAACGGACTTGAACTATTGCGATATGAGTGTAAGGATAGCAGAAGTGAAATTTTTAGTAGAAGAAGAGAGGAACTTGAAATGAAAATTATTGAGCTTTTTGAAAGCTTTTAAGAAACGACAGTAATTATAATCATCATCAATGTGTTACACGGGTTATCTTGCATGGTTGAATTAAAATATGTTATTGTATTTGTAGTCATTGTGTTCATTACGTCAGCATTCAGTTATCCGAAGGATTTTAAAGCGTCGCTGCTTAGTGAAAAGTTCCATTTTGTTCTTGAAAGTGTCATTTTTTT